GTTATTGTATGGATTCTTTCCCTTCCAAATATTTTCTCTCGCCTCGATCTCACCGAAAACTTTACCATCGCTCGCAGTCACAAGGTACCCCTCTTTCTCTTTTTTGTTAATTTCCAGAAAAAAATGTTTTCTTTTAGGGTTTCGGTTGATCTTTCATACGAAAATTCTCTCTTTTGTTTCTTGAGGATTAACGCGCTTAAAACATTTGTCGTCAATTTCAGATTTTGATCGATATTGCGAATTAGGGTTTCCTTTTAATGTACGAGCGATTGCATATTGAATATACGTAGTTCTTTACAACTGTACCATTTTGATCCCATTAAAGAATGGGTTTTACTCAGTTGGATAGGGTTTTCTTCAAATTAATTCTATTTTTATGTGAAATTCTGGATGTTGGAGATCATTTCTTAGGGTTCTTTATGAAATTGTAGTTTTGGGAATTGATATCTACTGGGTAAATGTTAGTCTCTGCAACTTTAATATTTACTTAATTCATAGGAAGTATTTTTTTTGGCCAAGTTACAACAATTATGGGCACTAAACCCACGTCCCAAACCTCTGGGATTGGCTGTTAATTTATCTATAGCGTTCTTAAAATTTATCAATATGGGATAGAACTCTTGCTTTCCTCCATTGATTTGGGGAATTGGGGCCGCCTGAGGCTGATTTTAATGTAAAGTGTTGATTGATGTTCTTAAAAATAATGTAGGACATGGATGATATGGACATTGACGTTGTCGAAGAAGCCACTTTGTCCTCATTCAACCCAAGAATGGGGTCTAGAAGAAAGAAACATACTCCGCCCGGGAGCAATCCTGGTCCCCGTACTTTTGGCCGGAATGGTGTTGCAATTGATGACACTGAACAACAACAAAGACGAGCAAGATTAGTGCAGCTGATAAACGAGACCCTTGAAACTGAGCATTCATCACAGGCCCAGAATGAAGTTTTACCATCTGAACAGAATGGAGGTTCTAATGAGGGTATTAGAAGTGGAAGATCATTTGAAAGAAGCTTAAAACATCCTGGGCATGCTCACTATCACCATCGAGACAAGGGTTCATGGAAAAAGAAAGGAAATGACCAGTGTCCTGTCTTTGATGGAGGTGATTTTATATTAAAGTCTAAAGAAAGAAGGGGAAAAAACAAGGGAATTGTTTTGAGCAGCGATCCGTTTCAGCACAATGTGCCTTGGAAGGACGAAGGGCAGAGGAGATTGGTATATGGCGGTCATCTTGCTCCTTGTAGTTCAGCAAAGAGCCGAATGTCATCTGAGGTTGATTGTCAAGGTAGGAGTTTCCTTTCTGAGGGAGAGACATGCTCATCATTTACGAAAGTCAACGACAAAATGAAGATGAAAGTAGTAGATTCTCCTAGTTTATCTTTATCAAAACCCAAAACCTGTCTGGGTCACCAAAAATGCTCTTTTCCACCTGAGGGCAGTGTTTATGTTTCCAACCGAGAAGAAGGCACCTCAGGCCACTTATCTGATCGAAGACATAAAATCACAATTGACAGTGGAGACTATGTTCATGTCGATGACAGTGTGGAAATAACCGCCTCTGGTAGGTTGAATCCAAATGCAGTACTGGCAACATCAGATTCAGAAGCTAGAGACAGAAGTAAGCAGATACTGGGAATGAAAGTGAAAGGACAAAGGAAATGCAGCTTGGCCTGTTCTAATTATGGCAGAAGCTCCAGTTTGGACTCTGAGAACTCTGAAATGTTAGATCTTGAATCACCTGGGCCCATTCCGTATACAAGATCAGCAAGGACTTATGATTCTCAGAATCATGTTCATATTTTGGACCCAGTTGCGGAAGTCGATGAGCTAGAATCACCAAAAAGAGGTAACAAGTTTCAGGAACAGAGTAGCAGAGATCCTGATCTCTCAGCTTCAAGAGCTAGCCAGGTTGAATCTGATGAGATGCTCGCTCGTCTACTCCAAGAACAGTTTAATGCAGAAATTGCAGGGTCAGCTAGCACAGAGGAGGTCCTTCCCTCACTATTCCGGTTTCTTTCTTTTTCTGTCCATATTGATTTCGCTGTTGCTATCTTTCTTTCAAATTAGAATCTAGCTAACAATTAGATGCCTGGGTCGAGAGTGTCTTTAGTATGATAATTTTGTTCTTCCTCCTATTGATAGATAGATGCAACTATAGCATGGTCATTGCAACAAGAGGATGCTCGGTCGGCTGCTTCTACTACAAGGACTTTCCAGTCAGATCATGTAAGTAGGCTTTTCTATTTGTCATTCTGATACATCTTGCATTATAACTTGAGAAATCTCTTAGCTGTGATCTACATGAAATATTTTTTGCGTATCAGATATTAACTCTTACTGTTCTCAATAACTCTGTCCTGCTTAGATATGAGATATGAAATACCTCTAACTATTTATGCCAATAGAAAGGATCATAAATTTAAGTCTGTAGAGTACAGTATATTTTCTAATTTGAAAATATTAGAACTCTTATTTCCTTAAGCATACATTGTAAACTTGACCAATATATACTTAAAAAATGTTCCTGTTAAAGTTTTAAACTTTAGATCATTTTTTCTGATGGGCCAATAAACAATTTTTGTCCCCACTGATAAACATGCACATTGTTTTTTGAAGCACCTAGTTCCAACAAATGGTCTGATCGGTGACTGTGATAAAGGTACTAGCGTATTGTTTCAGTATACTCTTTTAGAATCAGTTGCATATTTTAATGCTATCTTTGTTTTTCCAGAGTAGACTATCATAAATGACAGATATACTTCCATTTACTTTATTTTTATTACCTTCCTGATCAATCTGTTGGGTTATACGATCATAGTCGGAGTTTTTTTTCTTTGACTTTTACCAGGGTATCACAAAATAACTGATATAACCATGGAGTGCCCTCTTCATATGGGAGATTTGTATTTCTTGGTTTATGTTACAAAATTTATTCCTCTTGAGTTTTGCATAACCTATAATGTTATATTAGAAAACTGATGATAAATAACGTGCTATCATATGAGCGGTATTGAGCTTCATTAATTTTATTGAAGTTAATTACAGCTGGTTCTTGTTTGAAAGATCTGAAGCTATGTCTGCTGACTTGTGTTTTAAGTTTGTGAAATTCATGATCTTAGCGCATTTCATATGTCATGTTTAAGCACTGTTTTACCTATATGCCTAGAGTTGGTTGTTTCATTCCATTTTCATTCTCCAACAGAGGGAAACGTCAATGGCTCATTTATATGAATATTACGCACAACTTCCCTATCGAAACTCTGCTACGGGATTGTCAGATCGTGCATCAAACAGGAGGAGAAATTATGGTTCAGACATTGATTTAGAGAGAGTAATATTTTTCCATCTTTATGTGTTCAGTCGTCTTGCTTAAATGAAGTTCTCAAGTTGGCTTGTGTTCATTTAACTTATTAATTTTCATTGTCTATCCAGAGGATGATAGCTGAAGTGAGAAATTTTACAGGGATGGATCCGGGGATGGTAATGCTCATTTATCCACATTTAATCATGCCGCATTAGTACCATATAAATAATTTTTTATATTTTATAGTATGGAATATCTTTTCACACGGGTCTGCTCTATTTGAATGCTTGCCTCTCTGATATTGATCTAGAGAGTTAGTACACACTTCATGTGATGTGAAACTTAGCACAGATTTGGTGTGGTGTTATCAGGAAGCCTAGGAATTAGGATGATCGTCCTAAAGCATATAGAGTAATTCATAAGTGTAAGAGACTAATATTCTTGGTGTTGGATAACCCGGTACCATGGTGGTCGCTATACTACAATATAATGGCAGAGAGGATGCATGTGGCGTGGCGTATAGACAAAGGCACATTCTATACCATCAAACAAGTACCCGCTTCATTATATTGTTAGGAGTGAATACAGGGATAAACATGCACAATAACTGTGTTTTCCAAATGGTTATGATTTTTGGAAGTTTATCAAAGCAAATTATGGGAGCATGTGTTAAGTGTATGGAAGGTTTAGTTTGCTGCCATATTTAAATGATCCTTGTTTTCCATATTAAGATTAACTGGCCTTAGATTGCATGGATGAGATTTTTTTTATTTACCTAGTAATTTGTGCAATTTAGTGCTACTCGTGGTCACGCCATAAGCGCTGTTGAAAAGAAGTGATAACAAGCCCCACTTAAGTTTTGAACGTGGAAGAGTTCCCTGTCCGCTTCGTTTTCACTATTTTCACGTTATTAGGAGCTTTTAGAAGGGGGAAAAAGACGAATAGCGGGTAAGCAGCCCTTTCATATCATACCCGACCTGACTCCGATCCGCCATTAAAAATTAAACGCCTTTCTCCTTCGCTCTCTGATTCTCTCCTTATTTTTGAACCGAAATTAACCCTGCACCTCGAATTCTGCGCCTCCAACCTTGTCAGTTGTCCACCTCCCTTGTTCACCTTGTCAAGTCTTCTTCTCCCAATTAAGAATCTTTTTCTTCACCTTGACATCTTCTTCTCCATCAAAGCTCACCCAAATTTGGGCGAAGCTCTCTTGTTGCTGAAACCTCCTTGGCTAGTCCACCTCCAGCAAAACCATCTCCACGTGAACCCAAAAAAAATTTAGACCCCCCAAAACCATTTCCGTCTCTATCAATCTTCGCCTCCAGCAAGTTCTCCACAGGACGCCTCTTCCTCTTGAGCTCCCTCGGTCTTAGCAGCAGTAGCGTCGACGTAAAGTGTATTAATTTCAAAATTTACCTTTTTCCTAATTTTTTTTGTCCTCCTCTCAAGTACCTGCAATGTGCTTCTCTAGTGCTTTTTTGGTAATTGGGTTGTACTTGATTAATTATTTTTGAGTTTTTATCCATATTTAAAATTTTAATAAGATTTGGACCACTTTTTTCCTTGGCACTTTTTTTCCGCTTTGAAGCGCTTATGCCCCAAAAAGCCTAAGCGGTGCCTCACCACTAGGGGTGGCAAACGGGTCGACCCGACCCGACCCGACCCATATAAAATTTAACCCGACCCGTATAAGTATGACCCGACCCGACCCATTTAATAAATGAGTCAATACGATCCGACCCGTTTATTAAACGAGTTACCCGACCCGACCCATATAACCCAAATGGTAGAGAATACTAAACATTTAAGTGAAATTCTTTCAAACAATGGCATTCTCCTTTGCTTCTTGAATATTAAAGGAGTTACTCTTTTAAGTGATCTTCTCCACCAAATACTGAAACAGAATAAGACAAACAGAGAATACAAACAATGGCATTTCCTTTCTCCTTTGATTCTTGAACATAAAATTGATAATGAAATCCAGAAAAAGTAGATGTTGACACAGAATAAAACACCAAATTTTCCAGGTCTGAAAACTAAATATGCATTCAGGACAGCACCAACTTTTGCAAGGACTTGGGCATAAATTCTGCGCACAACTCAATTAAAATTGCTAAAATAAGACAAGCTCCAGCAACCCTTTAAGTAAACATAAATTCTGCGCACAACTCAATTAAAATTGCTAAAATAAGACAAGCTCCAGCAACCCTTTAAGTAAACAATAATTATCTGTATAAAAGAGATTAAAATGTCATTCTACATACATATGCATCAAAAAAAATTGGAGCAAGATTACTCTCATTAGAATGTTAAACAGGTTCACAAACAGGTACATTTCAAGCTCTCTGCAACAAATCCAGTTTCACAAACAGGTTCATTTCAAGCTCTGCATATTCTATTGCTTTCTTCTTGACGTGTTTAATTCTTTCTTCATCACCCTGTGACTTTTCATAGCCGAGCATATTCTATTGCTTTCTTCTTGACGTGTTTAATTCTTTCTTCATCACCCTGTGACTTTTCATAGCCGAGATACTTCGTGAATAAGAACTGCAAATTATTTAATTCTTTCTTCATCACCCTGTGACTTTTCATAGCCGAGATACTTCGTGAATAAGAACTGCAAATTACTCGATCAACTTAGCAGAATACTTAAAACAACTTAGTAGAATACTTAAAAACAAGATTCAGTAGTATGCTTTAGCTCAAATAGTTTAAATGAGAAAACTGAATACACAATCTAGAGAGTGAAAGTTTACGTATACATAAGCAGGATATTGATTGTGATCACAAGTCTGCAGAGCATCATCGCTACACTAGTGCTTCTCAGCCTATAGAAGAAAATAAAGGATTTACATCATTTGCTTCACCTGATGGATGTAGTGAGCCTACAGTCTACAAGCGAGAAGCTTCCATCTTTATCTTTAAAAGAGAAATCACACAATTCATCTATGACAAACAAGCTACACCAGAGACAAGGAAAGACTTCCTCAAGAGGTTAAGAGATGTAGGAGGTTCATGTGGGAACAAGACTCATTCCAACTCAATGAGTTCATGTCTTGAATCGATGTCTGCATTGAAGGGTAGACTAAGAGATATACTAATTACTTGAGAAAGAAATTACCCTCAAGAAATCAATGCAATCTTGATCAAGTGTGTCATCATACACACGAGAAGTTCCCTCCTTGCTTGATTTCTTCTTCTATCACCATCCATATTGCTCGAGTACTCGTTAAAGAGAGAGAACAAGATTCATAAAATCAAATAAAATTCAACAGATAACACAAATTCAGCAAAGCAACACTATTAAAGATGCAATCTACCATTCAAAAACTGAAAAATAATATAATATATGTGAAACATTTTTTTTTAAAAGAAGGAATTTCAATTAATCCACCATTTGTGGATTAATTTGACTTCCATTTGAGCCAACCACGATTAACATAACAAAGGACTACCAATACCCATTTAATCTTCCATTTCCTCATAAACCAAACCATACATACGTACCTAATTAGATCTAAATCAACATCTTGTATTCGAATGTTACTAGTAACGTCTTAGGATCTTCCTTAGCCACTCTCTTAGAGACACCAGTGAACTCTGGTTTCTATCTCACTTGGGCTACAATCTAGGCTCTAATATGATTTATTTGGAGAAATCAATCTCCTTTGTGATTTAAATAAGGCTTAAACATATGCTGGGAACCAAATTAAACCAAAGATCAGCACTATAACCAACATAAATATATAAAGATTCTTACAATTGGATTTTTGTAGAGCTAAAAAGGTACATTTTGAAAAATATTGGTAATATTGAAAATACTTCTTTATGGTCTAAATTATACATTAACTCGGCAGTAAACTCCGAAAATTATAGGTAATCAAGTGATCACATATAGAAATATATTATAATCATCAAGATGTCAAGTTTTTACACAAACACTGTTAGTTTTCGTTAAATATGCTATCATCCCCATTGTGTTTGTAGAAAGAGTAAACAAAATCACAATATTATAAAAACTTACCAACTATGATATGCATTTACAATCCCATAAATGCTACATATTTGATATTTTTACCTCTTTCCTTTCTAGCTTTATGCTATCAACTATACTCTCTGTCACCATATATTTATCTGTTTCGCTTCTCTAACCAAAACAAAATTTCTTCACTAAATTTTGTCAATTGCAAGAATGAGGGAACTAGATCTACCATACACTATGGGCAACCACTCCATGGAAAAAGAATAAAACCACACTAAACTAATAAGATACAAACTGAAATCAACAAAGAAGCAGCACACACTGATGGAATACCAATCACTATAAAAGCTAATTCTCATGAGTAGTTAATATTCACACTACAAACAAATGAATATGACCTGAAAATAACTTTTTTTATTATGCAATAAGAAATGTATATACCCAAATTCTCATTCATACATGCATACTATCAAGTAGGCAAACATAAAGGACCTTTAAAGTCCCATCTTTGCCCATCTTTTTCAAAGCATAGCACCATGGGATGAGAAGCTGGGCACGCTGAGGAATTAATAAGAGCAAGTGGCTGCAGCCTTAAATCATATATCTTTCACCAACTACCCTTTACCAGCTTCAACATGAAGAAATAGTACTTTAAGACAAGAGAACCAGGTCACAGTCTTCACACATATATACTTATCTAATGAATAAATATAGTTTATAGTTTTCCCTCAACTCAGCCATTAATCATGTCAAATTGTCTTAACTAACTGAAAAATTAGTACCTTGTGCTTGTTTCGTAGGCTATTTCTGAAAATTAAAAATACGAAAAGAACAATATATGGTACGAAAAGAATCACTAGATCATAGACTCCCCAAAATTCAACAGATCACAAATTGGGCAATAAATGAGCATGAATGAAACCTTAGAAAGAGGAATAGATTATCTATGATCAAACTAATTTACATGAAAGCCAATGATCAACTCTGGAAATGTAACATTGGAGCTTGAATCAAATTAATTTAAAGAAACTTGAGCAAAATGAAAGAAACCTAATTTTGATGAAGCTTAGAGAGATGAGAACTTACAGAGAGGATCGAGCTCGCCGTTTGTCGCCGCTCGTCGCTCGCCGTCACTCGTCGTCACTTTTGATGAAACGACGCCGCTCGCCGTCACCTCTCGCCTATCGCCGCCGCTCGCTCCTCGCTGCCGCTCGCCGCTCGCCGCCGCACGCAGATGGAAAATCTAGGGTTTGGTTTATGAGAGACGAAGAGAGGACGAGTTGCTAGACGAAGGAATGTGATGGTCTGATATTTTCGGTCGCGGTGTTATGCGCTTATACGGGTGAGCTCTTTGTGTTACACGGGTCAGGCGGGTCAACCCTAACTTACCCATCTAATAAACGGGTCAGTTCGGGTTAACCCATTTATGACCCAACCCATATAACTTGACCCATACCCAATATAAACGGGTCGGGTCGGGTCGGGTTGATGGGTCGGGTTAAAAACTGCCACCCCTACTCACCACTTCATTCCGCTTTCCGCTTTTTGCAACTTTGGCCATAAGTTTGAGACGTCAATGAGTTGGTAATGTTCTTATCTAAAACTTTCTTGGATAAATTTTCTTGTCTAAAGCTTGTATGCCACAGAAGTCTTACAAAAGTTTATCAATTTTTACTCTTGTCAACAGATCATTTATGTCACGGATTTTAAATACAGTCTATCAAGCTCAAGTGGTGGCTAATTTTGCTTTTAAGGGTATCTTAAGAAGAAAAGATGCATTTTATACATCTTTTCAAAAGTTCTTCATCTGTATGATTTTGTGGCTATGTGATGATTCTATTATTTACACGTGTTGCATAATTTGCTTTCTCTTAAAAGTTGCGTAATTTAAATGTAATTGGTTTTAACGGGGGTTAGACTTTGTATAATATGGGAGCTGTTTACACACTGAAGCTGAAGCTATGCTGTCAATTTCTTATTTACGAAGAATGCAACAGAGAAATTTAATTTTCTACTGATGTATTTGTTAATACTAATTCTTTTTAATATCACATGACAACGTAGCAAGTTTACAGGCTTTTACAAATCTCAGGGATTGGCTTAATGACCCATTTATGCATAGACATGTTGAAGTGATGACTGAAATTATGATTTTTTAAACTAGATTTTGCTTTAAATTTGGTCTTTAATTTTTTTCTTAAATAAGTATAACGTGTTCCTTTCCTAATGTGCAGAAGCGTGACTTCTTGGAAGCATTGGAAGCTGCATTTGACCACAGCAATGATGAACTTTCTGAAAGTGGTCTAGTTACTCATCACGAGTTCAACGAGTAAGTATAATTTAGTACGCATTTTGCTTATTGTTTTCTCCATATTGTTTAACCTTATAATCATCTAGAAAGTATAAGCATATTTACTCTTTCTCTAATAATCTTTTTACTTGGAGAATTTTCAAGTCTGCTACTTGTTTTATGAGCTTAATAATCAATAATGCAAGTTTGCTGACCTTCACTTAGCCCATAATGAAAATTGTATAAACTTTTCCTTTTTTCTTAAGAATCATTTTCCCCCTTTCATTCTCTATTGTAGGAGTGACTATGAGATATTGTTGGCCCTCGACGAGAACAATCATCAACATCTTGGTGCTTCTGAAAGTGAGATCAACAACTTGCCACAATCAATAATTAAGGTTGATATATCTTTGTCTACTTATGGTGTCACCTATGACAAAATATTTTATTTAGAAGCAATTCGCTAAATGTAGACTGGGCATGTTTTCTTTATTATATTGCGCAGAGTGATAACGTTGGAGAAGCATGCGCTGTCTGCCTGGAAAACCCCACTGCTGGAGATACTATCCGTCATTTGCCGTGTTTTCATAAATTCCATAAAGAAGTAGATTTCTCAAGATACTTATCTTTTGTAGGATTATATGCTATTATAAGCACAAATAATGGATCATTTATTCGTTTGTTTGCAGTGCATTGATACTTGGCTCAAGAGGAAGACATGGTGTCCAGTATGCAAGTCTGAAATTACTTAATGCTGAAGAGGCTTCTGAAATTTTTTGTTTTAGGATGAATGCTTCGCTGATTCTATGCTGAAAGTAAATTTTGCTGGAAGCTTTGCTATTTTTGGGGATGAACCCTTCTTCAACTCTTTGCTAACTTTTCTGGGATGCTATGGTGGAAGTTTGAAGGAAGTTTTCTTCTTTTCTTGGTGGATAAATATGGTTGGGATCTTAATGATTAGCTTAGTACTGTGAATATATAATACAATGAAGACTTGTGAGGGAAGAAACTTTCTTTCTTTGCTTGCTTTATATGAAAATTTCAAATGTTTTGCATGCAAATCTAATTATGTTGAGTTTAGACTGCAAACAATGTGTCATGATGATTTCCGTTCAGAGCTTCGAACCAGAGATTTGGTTTAGCAGTGCAATATGCTTGATAAAAGTCCCGACATAATTTTCAAGGCGAAATTGGTATTGATTTCTAGTTGTGTTTCAGTTATTTTTCTTTCAAACCTCTGCAAGCAATTGAACATTTTTTTGGTGATTTGTTGATAAGTCATGTTTGTCATACATTAACTTGAACAAAACACTGATGACAATCATGGTGTACATGTGAAAATCATAAATTTTAATATACACGTAGTAAATATTTGTTTGCTCAAAATCTTAATATATACATAATAAATATACATTTGTACAAAATGAACAAAACTTGAAAATATTACGAGTTATAGTGCATGAAAGTTGCGAATTTTCGTGAGCGAAAATCTATGATTTTTGTCAACTTTTTTTAATTTGAACAAATATAAATTTATTATAAGTACATCAATGTTTGATTTTTTGATGGGCTATATAATCTATGATTTTTGTTTATTTTTTATCTTTTCAAATAAATATAAATTAAATATGTATACATCAAAATTTATAATTTTTATGAGCTATAACCTGTTTTTTTGCCAATTATCGTTTGTTTAGAACAAATGCAAAGTTATCATGTTTATATAAAAATTTGAGATTTTGATGGGCTACGTAACCCACAATTTTAATCAAAATTTTAATCATTTTTAAATATAAATGAATTATGTCTACGTCAAAATTCATGATTTTTAAGAGCTAAAATCCATAATTTTTGGTCATTTTGGAACGAATGTAAATTAATTGTGTAGATAAAAAATTGAGGTTTTCATTGGCTAATTTTTATCCATTTTTTAGCATTTCCAATGAGAGTAAATTTGTTATACATACATCAAAGTTTGAGATTTTCACGTGTTATAACTTATATTTTTTCTATTTTTTAATCTTATTCAAACAAATGTAAATTAAATGTGTATACATAAATATTTACGATTTTCAGGAGCTATAAGCATAAAGCCTATGATTTAGTTATTTTTTATTTATCTCAAACAAATATATATTTATTATATACAACATCAAAATATCTGATTTCCATGGGCAAGCCATATTTTTTTGTTAATCTTTGGTCATTTCGAGTGAATTTTAATTAATTATGTGTACACCAAAATTTGTGATTTTCATAAGTGACAACTCACAAAAATTTCAAGTTTTTTTCATTTCAAATGAACATAAATTTGTTATGCACACATCAAAATTTTTGATTTTTATGAGCTATTGTTGATGTTAAATAATAAAACAGTCAAATATATTGGTGTGAGGTTGGTTAGGGGCTGCTCACTTCTCCGAATATCTTTGAGTTGAGTGGCTTCAACCTGCACAAATAGCAACTCGTGAGAGGACGGGGCTTAGTTCCCTCGTGGATCCTCCGACGATCAAGTCAGTTGATAAACTTGAGTGGGAAAAATAAAGAACTGTGTGAGTTTTCTAGTGTAGTGTAATATAATTACCAGATATTGCTTGGAAAAATAGCCTCTATCAGCTGCTTAGTAGAAAAAAACTCCCCTTTCTATTAAGAATAATACCTCTATTTATAATGGTGCTGAAAGGATAAAACTGTCATTTCAGCCGAGCATAGGATGACGACAAATAAGTATGGCTAGACTGTTGCGTCATCACCTACTTTACACGTGTCAGTTGACGATTGGAGAAGAGATCACCTCAGCATTTAATGTGAAGTGATTAGGGGCATGATGGTGCCGACGTGGCCCGATGTGTCATGAAGACTATCGGGGCTAGAGGTATGATGACGCCTGCCAAGCATTAAATGTGACGTTGACGCGTTGTCAGCGGGAGATGCTCGAGGTTGAAGTCATCCTTTGGCTTGGCCGAGAAGTAACGCCTCTCGAGTTGACCCTGCGAGGCGTCGAATAACTGGTCGAGTGGGCTCGTAGCGAGTCGTCTTCGACGAGAGAACTGAAAGGTACAGCCCTTTGAGTCGATCTAAGGAGATGTCGACTTGGCGAGTGGGCTAAGTCGGGATTCTTGGTAGTTCTGACCGTCAATTTGGTTTGAGCAGTGCATGCAGGGGGACACAATAACAGTTGGCCCCTTTCGCTTGGAGTCGGCTTGGGACGGGTCTAAGTGAAACGAGAGTAGCTTTGGATGGACGTGAGTGTGCATTAAATGAGGGAACTGAAAAGTCATTTCAGATTTTACGTCGCTGACGTCACCACATATTCTTTTTGACTACCACAACTTTGCTTTTCGTGGCTGATTGCAGTTTATTCAATGCAAGTGGGCTGCGTCTCGATCCTTGAGGTGTCGCTTCGGATTCTGAGAATTAATTTTGGTTGTTGGCCCAAGCTTTGATCTGGTCGTTCAGATTCCGGAAGTTGTGGATTCAACTGCTTATATATAGAGTCAGGGCCATGGAGATGGTGGTTATTGTCTTCTGAAATTCCCTTTTGAGAACTCAAAATCTTTCTCGCTCATCTCTTTCTGATGATTATTCCTCCATTCTACGATGCCATCAGACCCTGTAGACCGACGAGCTCTTCTGACGGAGATCGTCTCCAAGGTGACCAAAGCACAGAAGAGGATACTCCATGGGAGGTTTGATATCCCCCGAGAGTATGAGCTAATGGCTCCGACGAGGTCAAAGGCTATCTATGATCATGGACCGGATCGAGCTCCGCTCTACTTGAAACATTTAAAATTTGGCATGAGGCTGCCCCTGCACCCTTTTCTTCAACAAGTTTTCACGGTGCTAGGGATATCGTCGGCCCAGATGAAACCGAACGCCATCGTAACCTTGGTGCGGTTCATGGGAATTTGCCATTAGTTGGCAATAAAACCATCCTTACGAGTCTTGGACCGCCTGATGACTATGAAACTGAACCAGACTGAACCCCACTTCCATTTCCAAATAGTGGGGAAGTACCATCACCGACCTTCCTGACTCGAACAAGGACTGGAAGGAGAAGTTCGTCTGGGTCGTGGAGGATGACTTGGAGTTGGGCTGCTCGAACTGGCCTGAGATAAGGAGGGAAACACTCATGGAGGGTGACTTGCTCGACGCCGAGAGGTATGTGCTGGATCAAATCAAGGCGTATCCTGGCTTTCGCTGAGTCGAGCACCTACTTGACAACTCGGTCTTGCGGATTGCCAATGTGTTTGTCGTGCCTCCCATTGCCAAGGACAAAGAGAGGGCTTCAACCCTTATTTTTAGGACGGCAGAAGCGGCGATGCTGCCTACCGCTCCTCTAGCCGACCCCCAGGAAGGACCATCAGCAAGGCTAGAAAAGCCTCTTCGCCACGACTTACCCCCAATAGAGATCGAGATGACCAAGGTGAAACCTTCTGCTACCCTCGTCCATAGACAAAGGAGGAGGCCCTAGAGGGATGAAGAGCAAGAACATCGGGCGATGATCGAGAGGGTTGAGACCGATGTCATCCATCTGGACGAGTCGAACCCGGAAGAGTAGGTTCAGGCTCACTGGAAAGAGGGTGGAGTCGAGGCTAGATCTTCTGTTGACGAGGGCGAGTCATCCGTCCGTCGCAACGGGTCATCCCGCCGGGGGGAAGAGCTAGATGTAGAGGAGACGACGCCTCCCGCAAGGTTGGAGTATCCCTATCCTCACCGTGTTGCTGAGATTGAGGAGGACAAATGGGAAAGGATGAGGCAGTAACTCATTAGGACTTTGGGGGTTGGCCCTCAATATGGATAGGAGCCCAACACAGAGCATCGCTACCAGCCTGCTCACCATCTCAATGTTAAGGGGACGGTCCTTGGTTCTCTTCTGACTCAGTCGAGGGCGGTCGAGCAGTTTTGGCTTCCTCGAGATGAGGAGTTCTTGCATTGAATTCCCAATGCCGGTCTCCACCTAAGTCTTCGGAGCTACTTGGTTCGAGGCGCTTTGGTGAGCAAGAAATATACGGCTAGATGGAGTAGATCCGGACTTCATTTCTCAAGCTTTTAGGGGAGGTTGCTTCCTTGAGGGCCGACAGAGGGGTCGACTCAGAATGAGCTACGGAGACGCCAGCCCCAAGAGCTTCTGAGGTCGACAGGCTCAGGCAAGAGCTGGACGAGAGCAACAGGAAGGTCAGGAGACTGGATGAGGCTTTCCAGGAGAGGGAACACGCTATGGTGCAGGTCAAGGCCGAGAAATAGGAGGCGGTGCATGCGATACGTCAGCTGAACGAGGAGCATGCAGTGCTTGTCAAACTTCAGGGGGGGGGGTCACTCCCCTACATGAGTCCCTGGCAGTAGCCCAAAGCCGCAATGCCCACCTCAAGTCTAAGCCTTACCATGAGGAAATCATATAGGGGTATTGTTAGGGTCTTACTAGGAAAACAGAAATGGCGATAGCCTGCAAGGCCGGGTACGACTACCTCTCGGTGAGCTTCCAGTTGAGATGAGGAACCCACACGATCACTTCCACTATCCTCCTATTATAGATAAGTGTTTGGATGAGTTGGTGGTAGGGGTGCATTCGGTCCGGATACGGCTCGGATATGATGCTTATTATATCCATATCCGCTTACCCATCTCAGATACGAATATGGATACATATATACCTCGGTAAGAAAAAATTATAACCATATCTGCTAAAATTGGATACGGTTATGGATATACATGCGGATATATAAGCGGATATGCATACAGATACAAAACAGATATGAGAAAACTAGATAGTATTGAGAAAAACATAGTTCATATGATACAAAAGAGTTTGTTAATATGTCCATTATAATTGAAAAGTTAAGATTAGACATATTGATTATCAAAATTAACCACAAATCCATAATCTAAAAATCAAAACTATCATAAGAGTATGACTAATATGTATTCAGATATAGATATTTCACTACAAAACCATATCCGTAATCATATCTGTGGGGTGTAAATTTGATTTCCCGAAAACAGGGAGTTTCGTTTGTATTGATAAGAAAGCTTATTACAAACTAATAATCAAATGGTTATA